TATATATATATAAAATATAATTTTAAGCAATCGTGCAACACTCTTATAAAGGGTTCATTTCACATTTGCTAAATTCTAGTGGTCCTGGAATGCGTAACGCATTCTATTAAAAATACTCCTTTAAATATTAACAATTAGTGTTCAAATCACCAACTAATACAATATTCTTGAGCTGTCAGGGGTTTTAAATAAACCTATCTTTGATCCACGTTCCACTGAATTACACATCATGGAGGTATACAGTCACAACATTAGTGGGTTAAATGTCAAAATGGCATTACAGTACAAAATAGTTAAAAAAAATCAGCTAGTCATACGCTTCTCCATCTGTGGAATTATTATGGCTCACAAGCAACCCAATGAATTACTGTAATCCTTGTTCTTGCAACCAAAGACATTATCTGAATCCCACCTTAATCCTGACTGGTTCATTTACTCCAAATTTCTCAGGTGTGGGTTAAAAATTCACTGCAAGGTGCCCACTGTCCTATGACATCCTGCTGCAAACCGGAAAACACATAGTACTTTATTTAAACATTCCTTAATTGCTACATTTTCCTAGACCACACTAATATATATTGTGTGTGTATATATATAGATATACACCTCTAACGTACATATATACACACACAAACATATATACACACATACACACACGTACCTAGGATAATAGCACACCGACATAACATTAACTCTATACAGGTATTTGCCAAGAAAAAAAATAGGGCATTTCCTCCACCACTTATTCACAAGCTTATGGTTGTTTTTTTTTCGTTTTTAATCCTTGTGTCCCTGATAAAACAAAATGCATGGTTAAACCACAAAACTATATTTTTTTCTCACTTCAAATTTTATGAAGGCATCAGGCACTTTTGATTACTGTTGGTGTGTACAAATATAGCAACATCTTTCTTTTCTTTTTTTTTTATATATATATATATATATATATCCTCTACTGTATCTTCTTTGCTCAGATAACTTATTTTGTGAAATCTTTGGTCCTTGAGTATATTCTGTTTGCCACAGCTGGTTTTCCTGCATTCTCACATTTTTAAAATGTGAGGCACGCACACAGCTGGAAATAATGGACTGTCATCGTACGTGTTTCTGTTTTTATAACTGTACCAATCCACTACTGTTCATTTGGAGCAAGCTGTTTCTGGTAAAGCGTTCTAGTCAAGCAAGCTATACATTCTACACGGTCAATCCATAGACGGCACTTGCTGCAAGCCCCAAATGCAGTAATTCCAATATACATTTTTATTCAGCTTATCTCTGCTTTATGCCTCTAACTTTTAATTCCTGAATACATATAGAATTGTTTTTTGTGATTTTTTTCTTTTTGTTGTTTTTTTTTTGTTTTGTTTCTTTCATATTCTCCCTTTTGCAGATCCCATTCTAGAGTAAGAATAAAAATAAAAGAAAATAAGGCTTTCCCACCTTCTCTATGCCAAAGCTATGGGAGCAGATACTGCCAACCCATATTGTCATCAAGCATTCCTCCCTCACTTATTTCAGGGGAAGCTGGTTGCTTTTAATGACAGGCCTCTTGTGCTCTGGGGTAGGATCCAATTATTTTGGGGTTCTTTCTCGATCATGCTCCTGTTATTTATTAGAAGAACCACAAGCTTTTCCCAAGCTTGAAAACTAGAGCAGATCATCATTGCACAAAACACCCCATTTCAGAGGGACGCATCGCCCCTTCCTACGTCTTAGAAAACATTCTCCCCACAGGGTCTACTAATTTCGGTCCTTAATTACAGGGCAGCCAAGTAGAGTATGTGTGCTGCTGGCACGGGAACACCGTCTGAACCTGCGCAATATAGTAATTGCTGAAGTTGGCATCTGCTACGTATGGGGCTGGCTGGTAATAGCAGGTGACATTGGCCACATTGGGGATGATATTTTGCTCGGCTAGGACCCGGATGGCCAGCATGGTGATCAGATTCAGAGTCTGTCTCCTCTCATGTCCCATCAGGCACACTGTGCTCTCATTCACCACACCGTGAAGGGTCATGAGATAGTCATACTTGCGGTCCTCTAATCCCACAAAGTGGTTCTGCAAGTAGGACTCCAGCTTTCTCTGCTGTTCTCCAATGTCTGAGAAGTCAATGAAAAACCTCGAACACATGTATCTCTGCAGGGACTTAATCTCGGATTCAGAGGCAGCCCTAAAGCCCCTTACCAAAAGGTTGCAGTACTTCAGAAGACCACCTCCTCTGATTTCTTCTGGGTTTCTGGTGGCGATTATCTTGTTGCAGAGGTGATCAAAGGCTTCCTGGAAATCCCCATAGACGCTCTCACCAATGATAGTCGGGTGAAAAGTTTCAGTCATTGGATTCTCTGAGCACTCATAAAAAAGCAGCAGGGAGTCCAGCTTGATTTGGAAGGAATCGACACTGAATTCAAACTGCCGCCTCAGAGAGTCCACAAATTTCAGCTCCACGTTTTTGCCGCTGTTGTTGGACAGGGAGATGAGACTCCATCGGTCTGAATCATTGCAGACTTTTACCATTTTCTGCACATAAGCCTCCTATAATTGGAAAGACAAAATGAGCAAATGAAGACACGGACGCAATGAATTTCCCCTTCACCGCATTTGTTCACATCCCCACTACCCCCACCTCCACCCCGTCTTTGCGTTTCACAAAAGATTTCACGAAGCCTGCAGATACAAACCAGAGAAGAAATGCTTCGTGTGAGAGCCTGGAGGGCTGTCATTGCAAGGGGGTGATGGGGGGGGAGCGTTCTGCTGGGGCTGTCTCGTGCGAGGGAAGCATATGGCAGCACTGCTTCTTTCAATCACTTCTAAATACATCTACACACGAAGCCCATGGCACACATGCCAGCTATCCGTACACCCACACACAAAAGGTCACCGCTACAATCAGATAAGAAATCTTTCCTAGCGGTTTCCACTTCTGTCTCCCCTCCCCACAAAAAAAAAAAACAAACAAGCACAAAACCCAAAACCTTAGCAAGTGTTCACTCCCCTCAATCCTGCTCTTTCAGTGCAGGTTCCACAAATCTGCCCCACATTCCAAAAAATCCCTCTAAAAAATTAATCTTAGAGGCATTTGGCATTCAGCCTAATGAATCCGAGCGAACTGTCTGTGAGAGGAGGGAACATGCCTCTCCGCTGGGGCACTGAGCACACAAGGCAGCGTGCCTTGCAGACGGTGTTGCCTTCTTGGAGATACTAAACCCACAGAAGTTCCCCCCAGCCACCCCGGGACCCGGGCTCGGCCAAACCCAGCTGCCGCAGAGCGGAGCCGGGAGATCTGCAGCGCCTTGCACACACACGCCCCGGTAAGTCAACGCTCCCACCAAATCAAATCAGTGAGAGGGAGGAAAAGACTAATTAATCCTGAGCAGCCCCGGCCAGGACGCTTTACGGCAAACTCCTCCTCGGCTTTAAGCGGGGGGCGAACAAAATCGCTCACGGCTCCTGTGGGTCTCGGGGTGAGGTGGGAGGCAGAGTGCCTCGGTGCACCCCTCCATCCCCCGAGGGGAAGGTGCCCCGTTCCCCGCAGGCAGGCGCTGACACCTGCCCGCTCCGGGCGCCTGGGCCCAGGGCAGGTTTACCTTGAGGGTGAGCGGCGTGATCTTCTCCTTGTTCACCCCCTCGGGTAAGAAATCCAAGAGGCAGTCCAAGACCACGTCCTTCACAGTCTGAAACTCGGCTTCCCCTTTGAGGTCGGCGCAGAAGATGAGGTCCAAGTCCTTGTAGCCCAGGCCGCTGTCCTGGTGCAGGACGT